GCCCTGGGTTCGAGTCCAGCGCCTGGCGGCGAACGACCGAGATCCCGGCGCGGTGGGGCGGGGGAGGCGGAGGCGGAGGCAAGCGTAAGGTCATCCCCCGCGACGCATCGAGTTCGCGGCCAGCTGAAAGGAGACTGGGGGAGGAGGGGGAGGAGAGGGGCGGCAACGCCACAGAGAGGGACTGGGGTTGGTTCAGAAGCTGAGGCAGGAGGATTGTGAGCTTGAGATCAGTAGCTACCTAGACAGGCCCCGTCTCTACAGCAGGGAGGGCGTCGGGGCTCAGGCCTTCCACCCTGCGCCCGGGAGTAGAGCAGACTCGTCTCTGAGCTTTCGGCCAGCCCGGGAGTAAAGAGCAAGAGAGGATCCGAGCAGCCTGCCCGCCCCCAGGACCTGAGAAATGCCCGGATCCAGCCCCTGCTTGCTGGGGCCCACGTGCACTTTGCGCCTTTGCAAGGCTGGGGGAGCTGTAACCTCTCCGGGTGCTGTCAGAGCCAGTACTCAGTTTCACGCATCAGAGCTGCCGGGAGGTCAGACCAAGCCAGGCGAGCTGGGGCTCGGGGTTCTTAGGTATTTTGATGCCAGCAGTTGCTTACCTCTTGCTTTGTTTGGCCTCTTGTAGCAAGAAGCGCTGTTCTCAGGTGACCCTGCTTAGAGATCGGCTGCCCACCAGGGGGGCGCTCGGTTCGGATGAAGCCAGGCTTGGTGGCGCTAGCCTTTGATCCGAGCCCTAGGCAGGCCGAGGCAGGCGGATCCCCGAGTCCCAGGCCAGCCGGTGTTACAGTGGGCCCTGTGTGACAGGTCAGGTTCAGGGAGGGGTGTTTCAGCACGCGTCTCCTGCAGACAAGGAAGGGAGTCTGTCCTTACGTCTTCCCAGTAGCTTGTCACATGTCAGAAGTCCCTCTAGTGGTTTGGAGGCTGGGTCTCCGGTTGCTCCTGCTGGCCTTGAATGTCTGATCTGCCTCCACCTCCCGCAACCTGGGATGACAGGCACGAGCCTCCAGGCCTGCAACAGCTGGGAAGTCTAACTTGAATGGAATTCCATTGTTGGACGTACAGTCTCTGTAGGTCACATGTCGCCATTTGCCCTGAAGATTTAGTCCTCTTTTCTCCTTCATCTAGGATCAACTCAAGGGTTGGGTCACGCTTGTTTGTGACACTGACGTTTTTGAAGAGTGCGTTAAAGGCCAAGATTGGATGATGGGAGAGCAGGGAACTATGGCTTTTTATTATAGTCTTATGGTTATTATTACTATTATTTATTTTGATGGGGTGCTGTCAGAGGATAACTTTCAGGGGTTGGGTTGGCAGAGTTGGTAGCAAGCACCTTTATCTATAATCCATCATGCTACACATGCACCCTCATTATTTTTAAGACACGGTCTTATGCCGGGCGGTGGTGGCGAACACCTTTAATCCCGATGCTCAGGGGGCAGAGGCAGGCGGACCTCTGAGAGTTTGAGGCCAGCTCGGTCTATAAATCAAGTTCCAGGACAGCCAGGGCTACACAGAGAAACCCTCTCAAACCCTCAAACCCTCTTTTTTTGTCTCAAAAAAAAAAAAAAAAAAAGTGAGCTCAAATTTGCACTTGCTCTGAGGTACCTGTAGAGGACCCCAGCGCCCCCTCAACCATCACTCTTGGCATGTATACTACATGGAATAAGGTGGACAGGGTCGTGCCCTTGAGTTTAGAGTCTTGTGATTTCGCTTCCAAGGTCTAAAGCATGGAAAGAGAAAGGGACCAGCCACAGAGGCGGACGAAGCTTCCCAGAGCCAGGTGTGTCCTGTCCCCAGCCACCCCCCCCAAAGAGCCTTAAGGGTCTTCCTCCTGGGTGGATGATTCTTTTCATCTGCTAAAGGCTAGATTCACTTGCCTGGTATCTGCGCAGACAAAGGGTTAGGGAACAGGTCCCAAGCTCATCTATCTGCCTGGCCTTGCCCAGAGGCCCTGGACCGTTTCTGCAGTTGGTCCTCATCTTACCTGTGCGGTGAATACTTGCTCATGTCTTGGATTCAGGTGACACCTGCCTGCCTCAGCTCTGTCTTCAGATGTCACTGATGTCTTGGACTCAGGTGACACCCGCCTGCCTCAGCTCTGTCTTCAGATGTCACTGATGTTTTAGACTCAGGTGACACCCGCCTGCCTCAGCTCTGTCTTCAGATGTCACTGATGTCTTGGACTCAGGTGACACCCGCCTGCCTCAGCTCTGTCTTCAGATGTCAAGTAGTGCTGTCTTCCATGCAGCAGCTGTGGCTACTCAGGAGACCCTCATTGTCAGAGGGCCACTAGACTCTCACCTGATCTCAGTCATCCCATCCTGCCCTTCCCAGCCAACTGCGTATAATTCTGCCCTAATTGCACCTGCCTCAGGATGTCGGGGGAGTGATAGACAAAAATATAGACTAAAGGTTACCAGAAGGAGGCACTTTGTGTGCAATCATGGGGAAGTTATCATCTCTGCTGGGGTGAGATTCTGGAGTCCTGTGGCTGCTTTGGGGTCACCCGTGCTCTATAAGGTGTACCCAGTAAACACATTGGTTCCCCAAAGTTAGACATGGGTGGACAGTACTGTGAGGAGGGGTAGATGCTGGTTTACCCCCCCTCCCAGAGAAGGAGGTCACACATGAGTGGAGACACCCGGGGCTGCTGTTTAGCTTGCTCAGAGCTTCTTCCCCTGGCTACTTCTGCCTAGGAAAGAGTGAGGTTTTTCAGTATTTGAAAGGGTTCTGAGGACTAGGGTGTGACTCAGTGGGAGGTTTGTCTAGCATGGAAGGTTCTGGTTTGATCCCTGGCACTGCCAAAATGGGGTGCGGGTGGGGGATTCCTGATGGACAGGAAGGCTGTTGAGGTGGCTTGCAACCCACTAAATCTAAGGGTGGCCAGGTGTGTAGTCATCAGCCCGTCCTGGTATGTCCAGTCACCTGTGCACAGAGGGCTGGGGCTGCTAGGGACTTGGAACAGAGGGGTGGGACCTGTCTGTCTTTGATTAGCCATTTTTAAAGCCGAAAACTGGTTTCTCATTGTATTTCCCAGATGAACCGACCCTTCATGAGCAGGGGCTGGACAGTAGTTGAAGGTTAGGCAAGTGCTGACTGTCAGCTTCTTATCTTTATGTGACCTAAATTATAACATTAACTGGAGCCGGGCATTGGTGGCACACGCGTTTAATCCCAGCACTCGGGAGGCAGAGGCAGGCGGATCTCTGTGAGTTCGAGACCAGCCTGGTCAACAGAGAGAGTTCCAGGACAACCTCCAAAGCTACACGAGAAACCCTGTCTCGAAAAACCAAAAGAAAAAAAAAAAAAGCCTTGTCCCCCCCCCCCCCCCCATAACATTAGCTGGAAAGTCTTTTCCCCCAAGTCACACTCCAGAGGGTGTCATTAACTGACGAGTGCACCCAAGTGTCACTCGGCCATGATGGGATGCACTGCAGGAATTAGGCGGGGCAGCCCCTCTCCTGGTCTTAATCGTCAAGGTGTGTGTGAGCTCTTGCTTGCAGCCCCTGAAGAATTTTGATCTCCCCACAGAGGCTGAAGGCAGCAGTTCACTACACAGTCGGCTGTCTTTGCCAGGAAGTTGCGTTGGATAAAC